TATCAGCCGCTCTCAGTACCAACATGACCGAATAACCGCTGCACACCACAAACACTCCTTCATCACATCTCTCCCACCACCCCCACAACATCTCCTCCAACCTCACACCCTCCAAGACACCGATCCCCTCTGGTGGCTCCCCCTTGAACCTTGGGGTGCAACACAATCCACCGCGCCCATTCATGACATGCTCGCCTCTCGCAACACACTCGCAATATACAACGTCCCTCATACACCCCGCACATGGGATTACCTCAACAATTTTATGCTTCTCCACCACCAAGAAATCACACAACCTACACCACCGTTTCCTACATTCAGGACAAATCTCGTTCGCCGAGCAGTTGCATCCTTTGAAGCCCGCAACATCCCCCCAAGATGACTGCTCGACTGCAATCCAAAGAAACAAACCATCAACCCTGCCGCTTCTCCAACAAGACTGCAAGACCGGAATCCTGCTACCGAACTCGCCACGACGACAACAACGCTGCAACATCGACGCATCACTCGAAGACAACAAACAAAACCTGCAACTCCTGCTGCGCCGCATGACGACACACCTACAAGTTCTGCTGGACGCTGGGACACACAAGCGCAGCAAGGCAAACACAAGCGGGGAGCCACTCTGCAACATCACGTGGCAACAGGGGAGGGCGACAGAGAGCGAGGGAGATCACTGGTGGCGAGCAGAAGCAAGACCAGCGACAAGGAGCAGAATCAGAGCCGTGCACACGCATAGCCTTCTTCAACAACGCAACCATTGGAGATCGGGCGCATTTTGAAGACCTGCCTCTCAACACACTCGCTCTATCACTCTTCTATCCAACATGATACATAATGTGCGAGAGAGGGAGAGAAACAGAGAAAGAAAGACAAAAAGAACAACACGGAAAGCCGAGTGACTACACTATATGTTCTTCAGTTCTTCAATTTTTGTTGTGTGCTGCTTCTATTGCTCCTGAACTCTTGGAGACGATTGTGCTTTCGACTTCGCGCTTCAATTTTCGTTGTGTTCTGCTTCAGTTTCCAGACATTCTGTTTCTGCCTCTTCATGAATTCTACTTTTGTTCTTTCAGCACCATTTGAAAAAAACCGTCCACAATTCGGTGTGTGAACTGCACAGACCCCCTTCTCTTGGCACGGCGGGTCCCCTTGTAATCGTTTAACTTTTCGATCCGCCAAGTCGGCATCTTGTACTCCCTTTTGCTGTTTCCATCGCCGGGCAATTGCAGTTGCCAAAGCCCGGTGAGTTGCTGACTGACGGTCGTGGGTGCCGGAAACTTGTTGATGTCGCCCAAGAGGGTGACCACATGATCGAGGCGTTCCTCGAACTGGCAGGATGACGCTGCAGGCTGGCTGGTACTAGCCTGCCTGCTTCCGGTCTTGGCTTCTCCAAGTCTTGGATACGGGCGTTCAGCGTCCGTGTAGCGTCCTCGTGCAGGGCCTGTCGAGGGTTCTCCAACTCAAGCTGCTGATTACAAGCGTACACCAGACGCCGCACGATTTTGGAGAGAAAATCCTTGTGCTCTTCCACGGCCGTGGCGTTCTCATGCTCATCGGAGGGTTCAAAGTGCCAGAACTTAAATCGTTCGATGGTGGTGGTTTTGTGCCGCTGCAAGCAGCTCCGTGCTTCCTTGCGGCTCTCATGGGATTCCCGATCGGTTGCAGCCTGCAGCCGAGCTTGTTCAGCTGCTCCTTCGGCTGCAGCCTGTAGCCGAGCAGCTTCGGCCTCCGCCTGGCGCTGTTCCTCCAATTCAATCTGTGCGAGCTGATCTTGAATCCACTTGCGGAAGTCTCAGATGGATTCGCTGGCGAGCTGGCCTGCCATGCCCGGTGGAGCAGTCATGCTGACGTGTCACCTTGCTGGTGTGGCACTTACCAAGCCATGGGAGAACAAGGGAGGGAGGGAGGGCTCAGACACACACATGCATGCAAAACCCCCAATCCCTGCGGTGAGGCCTAAGCAAAAAAAATGCCCCCCTTTTGCAGATTTGACAAATATAATAATGGGAATACTTTTTTGTTTGGGAAATAGCAGAACGGAGTGATCGGGCCTGACCTAGGAGCAGTCTGATGAGCAGATGTTACATGCCCAGTTGGGCGATGTACATAGAAACCGAGGATCCGCAATGTGATGAAAAGGACTGAATGGACAATGCAGTGCAAGTAGAATCTCAACAAGCAATGTGCATTCTAATACATACAAAATGGTGCTGAATAGCGCAGGGAAGACTTAGATACAAAGCCTGACCTGACCGGGACTGACCTCATTCACATAGTATCAGATAGGGAAGCAGAATGCTAGAATACTAATGACTAGCCCAACCAATGTTTGAACGCAGACCAAACATACATCGTATCCATCACCAGGTGTGAAGGAGCCTGGCGCTGTACACAGGAAGAAAGCGCCAGGTCCAGACAAACACAGACGAAGAGGAGGGAATCAGACGAAAGGAGGGAGAGGCATGGGAATGTCGTCAACACCAAGTCTTTGTCACAAGTCCCAAATAATCCCTCGTTGCAATGTCTGAAGTCCAAAAGTCGAGTCTGGATCCGATGTCACCAAGCTCTTTCTCTCTTCTCTCGTAGTCTGCAGATGCAGTGAAGTCAGATGATGAGAGGTGGAGAAGGAGATGGTGGACTGAGAAGAGGAAGAAGAAGAACTCTCTCTCTCTGTTACGAGCCAGATACTAACCTGTGCTGCAGGTACCTTGAAGACGAAGCTGGAGCAACGGCGCTGTGCTGCAGGTACCTTGAAGACGAAGCTGGAGCAACGGCGCTGCGGGTAAGTACCTCTGGCCTCCGCCCAATCTCTCTCTCTCTCTAGTGCTATCCTAGCTATGGCGCCCAGCGCTGGAGACTACAGCTACCTACTGCGCCCAGCGCTGAAGACTAAGGCTAACGCTACTACTACTCCTGCAGCGCTCCCTCCAGAGTGCTGCTGCCGAATCCTGAAGACTACTACTGCCTCCTGTCTACCTGTGAAGTGCATGGAGCCCTTCGTTTCAGGCTAAAAAGGCTGTTGCCATTTTTCGTCTGAAACGACACAGGGACTGTAGGCCCCTGTTTTCAGGCTTTCGGGCTGAACAGTCACGGGGCCTGTAGGCCCTGGTTTTCAGGCTTTTAGCCTGAGGGACGCAGGGCCTGGAAAATGGCCCTCGTGTGCAGGCGCAGCATGTAACAGCAGACCAGACTGTCCTGCAGAAAAGGAGAATATTTCAGATTGGTTGCAATATCAATATTCGTTATTGTAGGGAGGTGAAAAATTCACTTCCCCAATTTCGGATTTTGAGTACTTCTGGGATTGTAGAAATTTAATACTAAGAAAATATTCCCCCCCCTGCCGTGTATTTTTATTTATTTATTTATTTAGACTTCCATGACCACCGTCCTGCTAAAAATTTGGACCATTTCTCGATTTATGCGTGTCATCCTTGCGCAGGGGCCATGCAAATCTTCTCTGTCTCGTTCCAATTTTAACGGATGTCCCGAAGTACACCTACCCTGTATTTCGAATTTCGGATTTCCTGAGTTCAGCAAATTTCAAAGTGCAGTTCTACTGCAGGCAAGTAGAAAGTAGTGCAATTCAAGAAGAGCAAATTTTTTGAAGGTTCAGAGAAGTTTCCTGTCAGTTCCAGAATCGAGGAAAGAGTAATTAGTTGGTCAATATTAAAATAGTGCAGTCATAGTGGTTGATAAAAATCACACTTTTAGTACTAAATAGGGCAACACAGCATTAATTCCTTAATTACTAATTAGTACTAATGCACTAATCCTAATTTGGCTAATTACTTCGATCCCCTTGGTTCCGAAATCACAGAATTTCCGGATTTTGCAGAACTTGGAATCCGCAGATTTCCAGAATTCACAGAATTCTGAATTTCCAAAAATCATGGAATTCCCGAAATTTGTGAGGTTTCCGAAAATCGCGGAATTCGCGGATTCAGAACTAGACAGAACAAGAAAATTTTCACCCAAGTTTTGGTTAATGAGAAACTTATCAACTAGCAAATCGATCATCCATTTATTAATCAGCTAATCAATAATCAATCAATCAATCAATCAATGCCTGTTCGATTGATGATTGATCAAATCAATCTATTGTTGTTTCTTTAATCAATACTTGATTACTTCTCGCCTGAGGTCCAAAGGGACGACTTGCTGAGCAGACTTTCTCTTGTTGAGATCGCTCCGATACCAAACTGTCGCATACACATCCAAACATGACAAGTATAGCACAGATCCAAGGAGTCGACTCAAAGCACAAGACTAGATAAACACAGCGGAAGACTGGACATACATCTGACAGAGCAATATCAGAATGGACAATGCACACTCATACATGCATCACACGGTGAGAAGGGGGCAGTGCAGCATACAAGGAAGGGGCGCTGTCCTCTGATCATCCTTGGACGAAGTAGGAGGGAGAGGGAGACGAAGGGGGAAGAGAGAGGCGAGAGACCAAGTCGCCAACGTCGCCAATCCCAAATGTCCCCGAAGTCCCAGTCTCAGTACAATGTCCAAAAGCAGGTCTTTGCCCGAAATACCAGAGCAGGGCAATGGCCCGAGTGTCCCCAAGTTCAGATCTCAGATAACTCTCTCTCTCTCTCTCTCTCTCTCTCCAAACTCGCATACTGGTCACAAGCCACATGCCGCAACTGGTTTCAAGGGGCATTCCACCATTCCCTCATCTTTGACAGATGAACATGAATTCACTGTACTTTTGAGATGAAATACCCAAAAAACAGAGGAGAGGCCTGCACCCTCATGGTTGACCAATTGACAGATGGCCCATAATTATTTCACGAAGGTCAAAACAAGCACCACACATCATTCAAAACATTTCTGGTCAATCTCTGTCAAGTAAAGATTGCTGCCTGTACTGCTTGTTTACGAGGTGGAAGATCAAACCTTGTGTGTCAAAATACCAGTGCAAAAAGATGCATCATCTGATCCACAGAAGAGAGAAAGAACTCGTGAACAAAAGGAAATAACCTTACCAGATTTAGCTTTCCAACACGTATATGACCACTATCTCCTCCTCCTTCAGCTGGTTTTGGTGCTCTTGTGCTGGTTTCAATGGTGATCATAAATATTGAGTGTGACCTTGAAGAGTCTTGGTTCATCAATGTGGCCCCAACTGATCTGTTCTTCTTGCCAACCTGTTGGTACAGGAAGAAAATCAACAACAGTTCACAATCGCTAGCAGAAATCCTTGTGCTTTCACGAGGAACAATCAACCTGATTGTCAGATTTTCATCAAAAGCCAGTTCAGAACACTAACAAACAATGCACAAGGACAGTGCAGTCCAGGAGTCGAGATAATAATATACTATCATTCTCTGTGCGCACAGAAACCCACACAAATATGCCTAGGCCCTAGAGGACAAATTAGTGATGTGTGGGATACAGAAGTGTTTTTTATCAATCTAGAAGCACAACGCTCAGTACCACTCCAGCCAACAATTCAGTTTTGAGAGCAGCAGCATAAAATTGGAATCTGTACTTCACCAAAAACAAAGTCCACATTTTCGCGCGCATGGAAACTCCTTGTGCGCCTTGTTTGGAGAGACGCCGCACGATTTTGGAGAGAAACTCAAGCTGCTGCTGGTTACAAGTGTGGCATGATCAGCGATCTCAGACCCTACATGGTCTGATACTCGATGGACGCGGAGATCAGGGATTACCTCACATGGAAACCATGGAAGGTAGTCCAGGCGATCCCCTACGGCCTCTTGGGCGGAGAGATCACAGCAGAACGAGCAGCAGTGGCGGCATCACTGGTAGAGGGGCACGGACTCTTCACAGATGAAGAAGAGCACCTGGCTCAGGCACTGGACGCAAGTGCCCGAGAGGTCAGAATTCACAACTCCGAATCCTTTGGATCCACCCCCAACTAAGTCAACTTAACTAAGGGAGGTAGGATTGCCCCCACAGCAACTTTCCATGACATCACCAAACCACACAACTCAGATTGCACAAACCAGGCCGAGTCCGTCATTTCCTCCTCAGACCAAGCGAACCTGAGTTAACAGTGATGTCATGGAACGTAAATGGGTTAGCAACAGTCCTATCCAACGGCGAAAAATGGGACAACATGACCAACTACCTCAACTGGTTCTCGAGGAACCCACCAGACATAGTATGCATATAGGAAACACACCTAACCAACTCAGCAGAACACCTAACAATAATTTCCAAAATACAGTCAAAAATGAGACACATTAAAACAAGCCAATGGGCACCATCCCCAAGAATCGGCTCCGCAGGTACAGCCGTTCTCTGGAACGAATATTTGAAAGCAGCCAACCATATCAATATCATCAAGTGTCAAATAGATGCAGAAAACGGAAGATGGATAGAAATTATTTTCACATTCAAAGAGGAGGTATTTCAGTTTGTAAATGCCTATGCACCCAACGACTCATCTCAGAGAAGAGAGTTCATTCAACATATCTCATCAAGATGTGACACACAGAAGCATTTACTACTAGTGGGGGACTGGAACGCCGTACTCAATTCATCTACTAACCGGGTCTCTCCATCACGGATTGACAGAGAAGAACTACCAACAAGTGAATCCCAAGAAATGATCACACTCATGATGGAAAGACCACTAATGGAACCCCTCAGAACAATTCACCCAGAAATCAATAGATTCACCTTTAGGAAAAGAAACAGATCACAACACATAACAAGTTCAGCAATATACTACTTTCTAATATTTGAAACTCTTAGAGGAGCAGTTCATGATGTAGGAATAGGTAAACTCCCTTACAATAACGGCCTAGATCATAGCCCAATATACATCAATGTACTCTTCGACCCAGGACTACAAAAGGGTCCCAACCTCTTCAAAATCAGCAACTCCATTCTAGACACGCCACAAATGAAAGAAGCAATAGCACTCGCTTGCATAGATTCGGAAAAAAAAAAAGTTGACTTCCTGAGCTTAGTAGCCAACTTATCTAAGGCAGCATCCATAGCTTCCAGGAAACTAGCAGCCAGGAGAAAACAACGCATACAAGATCTAGAAGCAGCAGTACAAGCAGCAGAATCTTACCTTATCAACAACCCAGGCCAGACTTCATATGAAGACTCACTAGCAAAGGCGAGAGCCGAATTGGGCGCTTGGAATTCATGGAAAGCAAGAGGAATGTGACTAAGAGCAAGAATCAGAGAGTGGGAGGAAGGGGAAAAAATAGCGAAGTATGTTTTCCAGAAAATCAGAGTAAGAGGAAGAAACTCCGCCATTCACCAACTTAGAGGAGAAGAGGGCCCCACCACAGAGCCAAGGAAAATGCTCACAATAGCAGAGTCCTTTTACAAAAACCTCTACACCTCTAAAACAGAACAACCCACGCCAGAGCCAGTTACACAAGCAGGAGAAAAAATTTTGAAATACTTGGCCAAAACAATCGTCACAACTCTAGCAGAAGATCAAGATGCACCCATGACGAATGAAAAAATTAAAAGAACATTGGACTCAATGAAATCGGGGAAGACCCCTGGGCAGGATGGACTGTCAAAAGAATTCTGGCAAAAGTACTGGGAAAATAGGGGATGAGTATTGCAAGTTTATAAGATCAGCATAGGCTACAGACGGTTTGGGAAAGTATCTAAGTACTGGAATAGTCACTCTACTATATAAGAAAGGAGACCCCACCGATATAAAAAATTACCGACCCATCACTCTACTAACAATAGCTTACAAGATCCTAGCCAAGCTTCTAGCTAACAGAATAAGCAAGATCACTAAAATTGCTTCCACATAGACCAAACAGGCTTCATCCCAGACAGATTCATATTAGATAACGTAATGACACTAGCAGAATCAGTAAGATACATTAAAGATAAGAAACTGGATGCAGCAATCCTCTTCTTTGACTTTGAGATAGCCTATGACCAGGTAAACTGGGATTTCCTCCAACAATGCATGGAAAAGATGGGAGTTGGACCAAACTTCAAAAAATGGGTCAGGATTCTATACAATGATGCACACGGGGCAGTTCAAGTACATGTACACATATCAGATCTATACAAGATATCTAGATCCTTAAGGCAAGGAGACCCATTAGCAGCCCCTATATTCCTATTCATCATCGAGGCAATAGCATCCTTCCTTAGGAAAGACCCATCCATACAAAGACTCAAAAACCCGTCTGAAGACCGCAATAGAACGTATCACATACCCCCCACGATCATGTTCGCAGACGACCTGACGGTACTCATAAGAGCTTCCAACTCATCCTTTGAAGCTCTCACCAGAGCAATGCATGCATATCAAGTGACCTCCGAAATGCGAATCAACTGGCAAAAAACAGTGGGATGGTGGCTAACGGACGAAGTATAGAGAGCCCCCTCATAACACCCCCAATGGTATGACTTGGTCTGACCCTAGGGACCCGCTGAGAGTCCTAGGGATCCAAATGACAAAACATGGAGCGGAGACAAAAATGTCCCCTAGCCTCCTAGCCAAGATGACAAGTAAACTAAGTGACTGGGGCAAAATGAACACCTCATTATATGGAAGAGCAATAATATTAAACTCATCCATTTTCGCCATGATGTGGTATGTAGCAGCTTTCTCGACTCCGGACCACCTGACGATAAGGAACCTAAAAAGGAAGGCCACAGCCTACCTGTGGACAGGAGATGCATCCAGACAACAATTCATAACAAAAGTTGCTTGGCAGTACGTCATTAAAAATAAAAGCCAGGGAGGGCTAGGAGTCCTAGACCCCATAACCCAAATAAAAGCTCTTCAGACCAAATGGATACTGAAACTCAATACTAGACCCGGCTTGCCATGGAGAACACTAGCCCTAGATGGACTACAACAACTACCAGTATATAACACCCCAATCAACATGGAGGGCTCCCTCTGGGTAATGAGCAAATCATGGTCAATAAAAGGGGGAAACTAGACCTCGATAAACCCGAGATTGAAGTTCTGGAAAGGGATCCTTCGCGATTGGTGAGAGATTTTCCCAGCCAAGGTCAGAGAACCAAACAACAAGGAGGAAGTACTAAGACAGTCCCTATTCTGCAACCAATGGATAACAAAGGCAGACGGAAGCCCTTTCACGCTCACCTCAAATGACACAAAATGGGGAGTTTGGCTAGAAAAAGGAATATGGCAGATCAAGCACATCCGGGACGACAACAAGGAATGGAAACACGACAAACAACTCAAACAACACCTCAACGGCTGTCACCAAGGAATGGTAACACGACAAACAACTCAAACAACACCTCGACGGCTGTCACCGACTAAACCAGAACCTACAGGAAATCACAACAGCCATCCCAAAAAACTGGCTCCCAATACTCAAGAAAGACAAACAGTGGGCCATAGGAGACTGGGCAGTAATACCAAATGAAACTCAACACAAACACACATTAGCATATTGGGGCAGAGAGGAAAACAAACCAAACTGGTATATTTTTACCATGCATGAAATAGAAGAACCTGAATCCGACCACAGCAAGATCAGCAAGAACCCAACAGCACAAGTTTTTGTCCGCGAAGACAACCTAAGAAAGATAAGAGTAATAAAAAATGTAGACCTAACCATCTACCACCCTCAAACCCCTTTAGAGAATCTAGAGGTAAACCCAACAGAATGGGCATGGAACCTCAAACAAAGATCAAACAAAGAACTTCAGGAATTCACACCAAAATCAACTTACTACAATATACAACCAGGCTAGGCTATAGGCTGAGACGCCACTCTACAAACCCAGATCCAATAATAGCAGACCGTTGGAAAAGACACCAAGTAGAACCAGAAACATTCCACTCAATACCCTGGGACAAAATAGCGTCTACCCACCCACCCAAATTTAAAAGCTTACAATGGCTAATCCTTTACTTAGCAGTCCCACTAAATCAATGGCTAAATGTGAGAAGGAAAAAGGAAGATAGAAGTCCACTAAAAGAACTGTGTGCTAATTGCAACAATGGTCAAATAGAGAACTTATACCACTG